CCCAACCCACCCATTTTTCTTAACTGGTGGTTTTAGGGGCTTAAGATACAATGCATAACAATGAGTTATGCACCCATCAGTAACTAAATCTGGACCACTCATTCAGAAAATTCAGATATAAGGATGATGAATTAAAAATCATTTTTATTTTTCCTTGTTTCTTAATCGGCTCATATCTTCTTTGTTTTAACTCGGATTTCAATTTTTTTTTTGCACAGATGGAACGAGTTCGTTGAGCTCTACAAAACGAGATCCATTTTCAATATTTTTTTAGAAAAAAAATTTCTTGTCTCTTGATACCAACTGTATACCATATGATATCTTCTTCATTTTTAATTCGATTTTGAAAATTTTTGCAGAGAAGGAACGAGTTGATCATGATCTATTGGATCTACAAATTTCTGGGTGAACAAAATACTGGACTAAAAAATACCACACAATACCACCCTGGTGCTATCTTGTGGTACACACTGTTAAAAGTCGTAAATGACAGTTAATATACATCTACTATCATGTATTCAAGCATCCTACAGTCTTGGTTTGTTCATACCACCATGGTACGCTTTTCAAACCATAGGTATGCTCTTATTTCAATACCAGTCAATACCATATGATATAGACTGGTAAAAAGAGGTTCAATTTTTTTTTTGTTCCAAAAATATATCAAAGTGGATATCATTTTGAATAGCACAATTAATATGATCTAACTGTGCGAAAAAAATTAAATTTCGACTTAAAACGAGTGATAAATTGTCCGTTAAAGATTAAAGAGTGGAAAATTAAAAGCTTTTCAGGAGAGAGAAGGGGCATTGATTTGGCGGATGGTGATTGGATTATGCATGTTTATTGACCAAAAGATTATTGACCGGATGGTTATTCACGACTAAGCATGATAGCCCAAAATCCCGGCTCAAGATAGGGTGCATAACATTAGGGTGCATAACTATGAGTAACCAAATATGGACCCTTTTTTTAAGTGGCTGCCGATCTAAGGGTGGAGAATTAAAGGAATTTATTTCCCTAGTTTTCTTGATTGAATCATATCTTCTACAAAATGATATCCATTTTTAATATTTTTTAGAATTTTTTTTTATACCTCTCGTTACCAACTCTATACCATATGGTATCTCCTTCGTTTTTAGTCATTTTCGAAATTTTTTGCATAGACGGAACGATTTAATCATGATCTATTGGATTTCAAATTTTTCTAGGTGAAAACGTTTCATATCTCTCGTTACAAACTCCATATCATACTATACCACCCTGGTATGGGGGGGTATTTTTTATACCATATGGTATGTTGTTATTTAATACCAGTCAATACCATATGGTACAGTCACTACCATATGGTATAGACTGGTAATAACTTTCAAATTTTTTTGTTCCAAAAAATATCAAAGTGGATAGCATTTTGAAAAGTACAATTAATCTGATCTAACTGTGCAAAAAAATTAACTTTCGAGTTAAAATGAGTGATAAATCGTTCGTTAAAGTTTAAGGGAAGAAAATTAAAGATTTTTCGAGGAGAGAGAATAAGACACTGATGTGGCGGATTTTTATTGGGTTATGCATGGAGTTCTAGCACCACAAGATGGCGGTTTAAAAACTATTGACACATATATTGTATTTTTTTGTAGGTTTATAGCGATCACGCCTGAGACTCAGGCGCTGGCGCTATTTGAAATTCTTCAAAAAATTAAATGGCGCCAACGCCTGGAACTCAGGCGTCATCGCTCCCTTCTTTTTTCTTCTTATCTTCTTCCTCACCACTCACTCTCGCCCTCACAGCACAACAGCCGCAGTCGAGTCCCTCACCCCCATCCAACCCCCAACCCCACGCCCAACAGCGACGGCAGCACCGAGAGAAGGGAGGGCCACGCCAGGCCCCCGACGAAGGCGCCTTTCCTAGAGCCGTCGTCGCTTTCTTCTTCCCCGCAAGCAGATATGGTTTTCCCCGTTGAGCAGCCATGTCCGACGCCGAGTAGGCCGACCCCGATAGAGGAAGGGGCAGAGGGCGGCGAGCTCAGCGCCGCGGCGGCGACCGCTATAGGGGTGAGTTTTTAGCCGGCAGTGGCCGGATTCTCGCCAGCGCGGGGAGTTTTTTTTATGTTCTGACTATTTTTTTTCCAGTTCCTTGGCTTATGGACAATTATTTCATGAGACCACCACCTGCGACAATTAATACAGCTCTGGTGGATCCGTTACTTCTTTGGGGTCACGGTCACCATCATATTGATGCAGTTTGGGCAAACGAGGTAAGTTTTGAAACTATTTCTATTGTTTTTTTATTAGCTTAGCTGAACTGAACTGAAATTAGAATAGAATAGAATTAAATTACGAATAGAATAAGAATAGTTTAGATTAGATTAGATTAGAATAAAATAAAATAAAATAAAATTACGAATAGAATTAGAATAAGTTTAATTAGATATATAAAAATAAATATTAGGTGAACTGAATTTAGAAGTACGCATGAAATTGAATTAATATAAGTTTTGTGCACTATAGGTTGGTGATCGACCTTACCACATTCGAGTACGAGCAATTTAGTCAGATACCATCCATTTTACGAGCCGTATCTCGTCGATGCGGGCTTGTTTACGGTTCTGCCATTGGCCCCTTTTACCGGTGATCCGGGTTTGATTACTGCGCTCGTAGACCGTTGGCGACCGGAGACATCGACCTTTCTAGGGGTGGAAATTGGGGTTGGTGTGGTTACCCGCCCCACATTTTGCGGGTAACTGACACGCTAAAACACAACACCAAACTGCGACCAAGTGTAATCGCAGTCCGGAAATGCAGTAACAGGCAAGCTCTAATTGTCAACCCGGGGTCTAGATCTATTGCCTACCCCGTGAATATCTATTATCTAGCAAACTAAGTCGAGTGATTGTGGTTTTAACTAAAAGCTGTAAGAAAGCAGGAAATGGTTCAGTTTTCTAAAGCAAGGTAAGAGTCACTAGGGAATGAGTCCCCCTAGCTCCTTAGTTAGGTCGAGGTTGTAATTACCCTGGGTTGATTAACTGTTGATTAAACTGCGGAAGATCCGACAGTAGCTTGGAATCTCTTAAGCTGACCAAGCCCTCTCAGGCAGGCGACTAACCTTCACCAGGATAGACTGCTGAGGCTATAAGCACAGAACTCCACTACTGGAATTGGTTTCCAGTACAAAGCAGTAAATCGATTAACTCTCGTATAATCAATCTACCACTACCGATTGATGAAGCTCTAACAACCTAATCAGATTCTATCTATCTCAGGTTGCAGCAGAAATCAAGAAAAGATGATCAGACTTCAATAGACTCAATGAATCATGCATCAATCGATTAAAATCAAACAGTATAACAATCCCAAGTCATTACAATCAAGATCCCTAACACATGGAACTGGGGTTCTTCATACCCAAGTGAGAGAAGGTTCTACTCCATAGAGAGAAAGAGGACAACAGAAATCAGAGTAGTCATACTTATAAAGATGAGGAAAATCTGCTTTGGGATGATGATCTTCACTCCTATGATGATCTCCAAGCTCGATTGATGAAATCCAGCACCAAAATCACCTTTAGGATGTGTTCTTCTCACTTTCTCTCTCTGAAACTCTGTTTTTGCTCCAAAAAGTCGATTCCCTCCTTTGGCTCAAAATTTGGGTTAAAACCCAGAATTTCCCGACCACACGGCCAGGCCACACGACCGTTGTTATCAGGCGTCGAGCGCGAGATGCCTGTCTACTTCCACTCCTTTAGAGCTCTCCTGAAACCCTAACTCTCACTTCTGCTAAGAACAAGATCGATCAAGGGAATTATGCAACACTAGGAATTAGAAATGAAAAATGAAAACGAAAAGAGAAATGGACTAATCTGTCTGTTTCGATTGGGCCTGAGAGCTTGAGCCCAAGTCTTTGAGTTTCTCGATCAGTTCCGAAGTAAGTGGTTGATCCACTCCACTGACACGGTGCGTTTTAACTCCACAAAGTTAAAACTGATTCTTCTCTTTGGCCGATTCAAAGTCCTCTGTTTGTCAATCTCGAACCCAGCAAGTAACGAGATTAACCTAGTGCAGCTGCTGAACTTCAACTAAAATGAACACAGGGACTTTTACGTGGTTTCCAGAGCTGAGAGAAAATGTAACTCAGCTCTGACTACTCCACGGACGAGAGATCACTGATTTGTGAATCTCGCCAATTCACTAAGATGTTTTCTTGACAGCTTCGAACCTTGTACAAATCACCAACCACTCTTGGAGGGTGATTCTGATTCTCACAACTACAACTTCACTCAGCTATCCAGCTACTGTGTCCCAAGACACACCCTCTAATACCCTGTCACTCCTGAACTTGTATTAGAGCTACTTTTCTAATCGATCGTTAATCACAAAACTCCTCTTGTGCTCTCCAACGATTGATCACCCGAAAAGTTGCTTCCCTCTTCTTCTTGTCGGCTTTTTTATCTTCTCTACAACTAGCCGTTGGTCCTGAATCTGCAACTCTCTTCTTCATTTGAATTTCTTTCCTTAATTGATTCCCTTGATATGATTCTGTAGCTGTACCAAATCTCCTTCTTCTGTTTTTGGAAATTCTTCGTAAATGCATTCCTTGATGAGCAAGACTGCCTTCTCTTCTCTAGTCAAGTACTTGGTGTGCACGTTTTGTCTTCGTGGGTCGATGACTGGCTTTCATTCAACACTCTCCCCCTAAGTCAGTCAATGATCCCTTCAGCTGCTAATGCAGTTCCTGCACACACTCAAACACACGTTACGTGCAGACTGCTCTCTATATAAACTGTTTTGCGGGAAGTCGAACTATTTTCATAACAGGGGAGTTTATTCCAATAGTAAAGCTCAAACAGCCAGAGACGAGACAAAATCCAAAGATAACTGACACAGACTCAGACATGCTGAGTTATAACAAACGACAGACAGACTCATACTTAGAGACATTTTCTACTTCAGCCAGACTTGACTAGATCCAAACTTAACTAGCTCCCCCTAAGACATATATCCATACTAAAACCCATACTCAGGCAAAGAGACATAATCAGATATGCCTTCTTCATCTTCCTGCATCTGATCTCTGCTGCTACTTGCTTCCCCTTCCAGACGGAACATAGCTTGAATGACTTCCAAAGGATGCACTAACGCTTGTTTGCCATTATCCCTCATCACCCTTGCACGATTATTTGGCTCAGGTGCTTCCTTAGCCTCTTCTTCTCCAAGGTCTGCAAGGCTGAGTCCATCCTCGTGAGGGGGAACTGCATGGTCAGCTGCTTCTCCCCCTGGAGAATTGACTAATGAACGACGACGTCCAACTGACGCATCAACTTTGCGGAGCACAAACTGAGCACGGAGAGAGCTTAAGATATCAACCCTAGCTACCTTGAAACGCAAGTCCAAGCCCAGGGCCAAAAGGATCTGCGTCATCTGAGGTGCAAAAGGGAGGTCTTCATCATAGTAAGCATCGTGATAGTTCATCATGTGATCGAACATGAGGTGAGGATAGCTGATGACGCGATTTTCTTTTGCACTGGCAAGAATCCACAGATCCGAGGGGTAAAGTTTGTTCAGGCCATGGGAGCGAGGTAGAAAAGCCCTAGTGATGTAATAGTTGAGCACCTTTAGATCATCAGGGAGTCTCCCAGAATGGAAATCAGAAGGATAATAGCGGCCAGTATCACGAGCATACAGGCGCAAGGCATCCCCCTCATTGAACCCAACAGAGTGGAAATCAGACTCGTTTTGGACTTCTGCCCCAGCAACAGGAATCCCAAGGAGGAGTGATAGGAGCTCCACATTGATAGTGATCAGATAGTTGTAAACTATCGTAGTAAAGCATGGTAGAGAGATTTGGAAGCAGGGCTTCATGTTTGCATAAAACATCCTGACAACCGCAGGTCGAAAGCCAAAATTCCTATTGGGGAGGATTTCCTTCCAACCTAAGGAATTAATCAGACGTGGAACATCCATTCCATACCTGTTAAACCTGGTTGGATCCAGAGTGATTGAAGGACATAGAGCACGATCTTGGAATTTGAGAAGATATCGAGCATACCCAGCAGCATCCTCAAAGCCTTTCCCATTGAAAATGGCTGCTTGAGCCAATCGCAAGGAGGCAACATGCTGATGAGATCCAACCATAATTGCTTGGAGAACCAAAGATTCGAGTTTTTAGAAGGTGAGAAGCTGTTTGAGAGATGATAATCGAGGCTGGGACTTAAGGGTTTTATAGACTTGGAAGAGACAAAGAGATGGAAAGTCGAGATAGAAAAGAGAAAGCTCAGAGATATGGAAAGACTTTGCCCTAAAGCAAAGGTGCTCTCATAATAGAAGATCTCTGATTTCAAGTTAAGGTAAGTCGAGAGCAATGTCACTTAAGGAAAAGAGACCAAGCTCTCTTCTGATTCTTAGGAAGGAATCTGATCCCAGAGGTTTAGTGAAAATATCAGCCCATTGGTAATTAGTGGGAACAAATTTGAGGTGTATCTTTCCTTCTTGAACCAGTTCACGAATGAAATGAAAAACGGATTTCTATGTGTTTGGTTTTTGAGTGTTGTACAGGATTTTTTGACATATTTATTGCACTGGTGTTGTCACACAGTACAGGAAGAGAACCAAAATCTAACCCATAGTCTAGAAGTTGGTATTTCATCCACAAAAGCTGTGTGCAGCAGCATCCAGCAACAATGTACTCTGCTTCTGCAGTGGACAAGGCTACTGAATTCTGTTTCTTACTGAACTAAGCTACCAAAGAAGACCCCATAAAATGACACGATCCTGAGGTACTTTTCCGATCAACTATGCAACCAGCATAGTCAGAATCAGAGTAGCCCACTAATTCTAGACTAGATTCACATGAATACCAGAGTCCTAAGTCTACAGTACCAGCCAAATCTGAAAACCCTCTTGACAGCAGATAAGTGACTTACTTTAGGAGCACTCTGGAATCTGGCACACACACATACACTAAACAGAATATCAGGTCTGCTTGCAGTCACATATAGGAGAGACCCTATTAGTCCTCTAAAGAGTTTCTCATTTACTGGAGTTCCTGACTCATCTTTGTCAATTTTTTGAGACGTTGCCATAGGGGTAACAGCAGTTTTCAGGTTTCCAAACTCAAAACGTTTCAGCATATTCTGGATATATTTTGACTGACTTATAAAAATTCCTTTTGCTGTCTGTTTTATTTGTAACCCCAGAAAATAGTTTAGCTCACCCATAAGACTCATTTCAAAGTTTGTCTTCATAAGTTTTTCAAATTCTAGGCACATTTCCTTACTAGTTCCTCCAAAGATAATATCATCAACATACACTTGAACTAGTAACAGTTGACCTTCCTTATGTTTAGTGAAAAGAGTTTTATCTACAGACCCTCGTTGAAAACCATTATCTAATAGAACAGAACTCAGCTTATCATACCAGGCTCTAGGAGCCTGTTTTAACCCATACAAAGCCTTTTTTAATCTATAGACATGATTTGGATGATTAGGATCTTCAAACCCAGGAGGTTGAGCTACATAAACTTCCTCTTTCAAATCTCCATTTAAAAAGGCACTCTTAACATCCATTTGGTAAAGTTTAATTTTTGATGCACTGGCAAAAGCACACAACATTCTAACAGCTTCAAGTCGAGCTACTGGAGCAAACGTTTCATCAAAATCTATTCCCTCCTCCTGGTTGTACCCTTGAGCTACTAGCCTAGCTCTATTTCTAGTTCTCACCCCTATTTCATCTGTTTTATTCTTATAGATCCATTTAGTTCCTATGATAACCCTATCTTCAGGTTTTGGAACAAGTTTCCACACATTTGCTCTTTCAAACTGATGCATTTCATCAAACATGGCAGCAGTCCAAAATTCATCTAACAGGGCTTCCTTAACTGTCTTAGGTTCAATCAGGGACACAAAAGCAGTGTGAGAGGGCAAAGTTTTGGATCTAGTGATGATACCTGTTTCCATGGGTCCAATGATTTGAGAGACAGGATGTCTCTTGACGATGTGAGCTGGTGGCTGTAGACTCACTAGAGCTGAGCTTGCTTTTTCCACATTTCCTGTAGACTGTAGTTCACTTTCATTCTCCTCAGGTTTTGAGTTCTGGTTCTGTGACTCAATATTCAGGTGCTCAGTTGACTTTTGTTGTGGACATTGATCCTCAGTTCCCTTATCTGAGCAAGTTATAGATGATCTCCCCAACCCAAAATCATCATCATCTGATATATCTGTAATCTCAACAACAGCTTCATCAAATATCACATTGATGGATTCCTCAACTTTGAGGGTCCTTTTGTTAAATATCCTGTATGCTTTACTCGAGTTAGAATATCCTAAGAATACAGCTTCATCTGATTTTGCATCAAATTTCCCTAGATTATCTTTGGTATTTAGGGCAAAACACTTGCATCCAAATGTACGAAAGTACCCTAGATTAGGTTTTCTCCCTTTCCATAGTTCATAGGGTGTTTTGTTTAAGCCTGATCTGATTAGTGCTCTATTAACCACATAGCAAGCTGTATTTATAGCCTCAACCCAGAAATACTTAGGAATACCATAATCATGCAGCATGGTACGAGCAATGTCAATTAAGGTTCTGTTTTTTCTTTCAACTACCCCGTTTTGTTGAGGGGTTCTAGGAGCAGAGAAGTTATGAAAAATTCCAAATTCATTGCAGAATATTTCAAAGGAATCAGAGGAGAATTCCCCTCCATGATCACTCCTAATGCTGTACACTTTAGTCATGCTTTCATTCTCAATTCTTTTGAGTAAGGTTTTAAAGTTTTCAAAAGCTTCATCCTTTTTGCTTAAAAACAGTACCAAAGTGAACCTAGAGTAATCATCTACTACCACAAACGCATAGGATTTTCCCCCATAGCTTATAACATTAGTGGGTCCAAACAAATCAAGATGTAATAATTCCAAAGGACTAGAGGTGGATATGACAGTTTTGCTCTTAAAACTAGACCTAGTTTGTTTCCCTTTAGCACAAGCATCACAAAAGAAGCTTCTCTTTTCATTTATCTGAGGTAACCCTTTTACCAGACCTAACCGAGCTAATTTCGACAAGGAACTCACATTAACATGACCTAGCCTCCTATGCCAGTCTTCTTGCAAATTTCTGTCCAAACTCATTAAACAGGTTTCATTAAAGCTGTCTTTATCACTTAAGTCAATAGTATAAATTTTACCATTTCTTTTTCCTGTGAACAGAATTTGTTTGGAGTTAATATTCTCAACATAGCAACAATTTGGTTCAAAAATGACTCTACATTCCTTGCCACACATTTGACTGATAGACATAAGATTATGTTTCAGACCATTAACTAACATAACATTTTTTATAGAAGGACAAGAACCAACTTGACCTTTTCCAATTATTTCAGCCGAATTGTTATCACCAAAGAATACTTTACCAAACCTACCTTGTTCAAGACTTGAAAATAAATTTTTGTTACCTGTCATGTGGTGTGAGCAACCACTGTCCATGATCCATTTAGATGTCTCCATACTCACTTGAAGACAACTCTGCATACACAGAAGTCATGTTGTTTTTCAAACCCAGATCTTCTTGGGTTCTTGTGGTGAATGAATATTCCTGAGATATCTACTATTTTCACCTAACCTATTTTTCTTAGCTTCTGACCATAAACGTTTTTTACATTCTCTTATCAAATGACCCTTCTTATGACAGTAATAGCATTCTAAATGTTTCACTGAATCACAATTTACTTTTGACTTATGGTAAATAACTTTGTTAGTTAACTTCTTCTGCACTTGTTCTTTTAAATTTATACATTCCTGTTGAAGTTTATTATTCAGCACCTCCCTGTTCTTAAGATTATTCATCAATTCACAATTGCTTGCTTCACTTGTTTTTAATTTAAACTCTAGCTCTTCTATTTTCTTTAGATTTATCTCATTTTCTTTCTTGAGTTTAATATATTTCACTTTCACATTTCCAAATTCCAGTTGAATTTCTTTAATAGTTTAAGCAAGACTTTCATCATCACTTTCATCTTCAATCTCACTTAGCTTATATAAGTTTAGATTACTTACCTGAGTTGACTGATGACTTTCAAGCACTTCTTCATTATCATCCAATCCTTCAGCTACTGCCATGTACGATCTGTGCACAGTTACCTCATCTTCTTCTTCCCCTTCATCCTCACTGCCACTCCAAGTAGCAGCATATGCTTTTTCTTGTTTAAGCAGTGGACATTCTGCTTTGATGTGCCCTGATCGTCCACATTTGAAACATCCAGTAGATCCAATCCCCTTAGAATTTGTATCATTTCTGGTTTTTGTGAATGTTCGAGGCTGACCAAATCTTGTCAATCCATCGTTTCTATCAGCTTCTTTGACTTTCGATCCTCCCATCTTCTTCTCCTTCCGAATTCTTAACAGCCTGCTAATCTGCTTGCTTAACAGAGCTAATTCCTCATCTTCCAAGTCCTCTAATTCTTCTGATTCTTCCGTCATACTCACTGCTTTGAAAGCGATCCCCTTTTTACCTTTGTCAGTACCATCAGAACCTCCTTTCCCCAACTTATCCTCATGTGTAGTCAGAGACCCAATTAGCTCATCAATAGCAAGCTTTTCCAGTTCTTTTGCTTCCTCAATAGCTGTCACTTTAGGAATCCATTTTTCAGGTAAGCTCCACAGTATCTTCCTAACAAGATCTCCACTCTCATATGTCTTCCCGAGATTTTCCAAACTATTAACAATGTTTGTAAATCTCTCATACATATGTCGTATTGATTCCCCTTCTTCCATCTTGAAGAGTTCGAATTGGTGTTTTAGAGAATTTATCCTGGAAATTTTGACTTGGGAAGTACCTTCATACGTGACCTAAAGTTTATCCCAGATTTACTTTGCTGTCTTGCACCCTGCAACCTTGTGATATTCTTCTGGACCCAAGGCACAGTACATCAGATTGGTTGCCTTGCAATTTTGCTGAAATTTTTCGTAATCCTCGTCGCTCCACTTCTCTTGATCTGCTTTAAGCTCATATGGCCCTTTGATTACCCTAGCCCACAACTTCGGGTCTGTTGATCCGACGAACAGCTCCATTCGATTCTTCCAGTAGCCATAATTCACTCCTTCAAACCGCGGCAGGCGATTCTGTGAAAAACCATCAGCAAGGTA